TAAATATCATTTATTTCAAGGTCGCAACGTTTTGCTCAGGGCTCGTCCTTGCCGTTGTGAAAATTTTCCGCTTAGGAAGGTGCTAAACACCGATATACCCGAAGGAAGGGTTTTAAATATTTTGTGGACACTTTTGGAGTTTCTGGAACTTTTTTAGCAATAAAGTTTTGGTGCTTTTTTATGTCTTCACAATTATATTCCAATGAGGCTCCGGGACAGCAAAATACTAAGCTTTGAATATTGTATAACCCAAACTACTTTTTACCCAGACTTGTATACCGCACGGGAACTCATAAGTCTTAGAAAAGCTCAAGAACCCCGGCATGTTCATGACTATTCGTACTCATTATTAATAATGTATTAGAAAATATATTAAGATTTTCTGGGTTTCCTTCGGTGTCTTGAATATTTACTTCGAAATCGATTACTTTCAACTTTCAACAAATTAAAAAAATGTTTCGTTAACTGCATGCGGCTTAATAGTGTTTTGTCCATAGATTTTTGTTGTTCAATCAAAGATCTGGTGTTTTTTCACATGTTGTAAAACTTCTAGTAGACTGTATGAGTTATTGACAATAAACTTATGAATTACCAGCATTTATCTTGAAATAAAGTTACATGGTTAGTGCTGTGATTTTTATTGACTAGCTTTGATGTTTGCTTGTTTAGCTGTGAACCCTCCAAAGGAAATAGCTATTATATGAATTTTATTGTTTTGCTTTATTTCATTTCTAAGGCTCTAGCGTTGTCTAGACGTTGTCTTTCCCTGGGGATTGTTTTTTTTCTAGCTATAGATTCATAGATGATTTATGACGAAGTATAAGAGGAGACTCCTCATTATACTTTCAGTCTCGCAGACTCGAAAATATTCTTTTGGCTTTAGAAAGCCGAGTGAACTTCTATGGTTCGAATCCCTGCGGTCTCCATTCTTTTCTTTTTGCTGAAAAAGGGTGAACTTCATAGAAGCTTGATGGAATTGGCGCTAGTAGTCGAATGTCCCGGGTATTTGGTGCAGCAGAGCGTCGGATTACGGTAATCGCATTGTTGCACAAGGTTTTTTTTAAATTTCAAGTTTTGTCAACATTTGAGTCCCTCGGTTTTCTTTCCCGTGTTGAGCAGCATTTGGTACTGGTGCGAAGAAGTGACTGGTAGACAGTGAAAGTAGTAGATTTGTCCAGCCTTTACAAAAGAGCTCTGGTGTGGGTGAACCACGTCACCTGTCCCGGCTCCTTCCACGCAACACGTCTTTATTGATTGTTTGTGATGGAAATAATTTAGTTCAAACTGAAATCTCCAGTTGTTTGCTCATTCAGTGAGCTGCTTTCCATCTCGCTCGTGCACTTTCAACAAAATAAAAATGTTTGCAGTAGTCTTTGTTGCTAGCACTTGTATATTCGACTAACAGGAGCGAAAAAGAATCGCTAAAATAAAAATATCACAGCTAGCGTCGTGAAACTTTTATTTTGGGACCTTTTTTTCCGGAAAGTCACACTTTTCCGTCATCAGTTCAAGAATATATTTGGTAATATAGAAAAGAAGTTATGAGAGCTTTGCAGTAGAACTTGTTTTACAACTGTTTCTGCTGCACCAAACCTATTAAGCGCTGCAGAAAAGTGTCAGCAGCGTTGTGGAAGGTGGCTGCATTGGACAAAATGCAGTCTGAGAGGTGGTGGCATCT